GTGAGGAGTCACCAGGGGAAGAAGGAGCATGTTGGAGAAGAAGACATTAGCTGTCGCAGAAACATAAGGAGGCCCTTCAAAACATGAAGCGCTGAGAGGAGGAAAACAAGAGGGACCCTCTGGAGTAAAACACTTGTCTGGAAGGAGCGGATAAGAGTTGAGGAATATTAGACGTACGAGGCAAAAGAGGAAGTATGGGGTGCATTCACAGCACAAGCACTGGCAGGATGAAGAAACATGGACCTGATACTGACACAGGAGGAATCCCCATAAAGGCTGACCCCGAATTACATCCTGAAATCCTTCAGCTTGCTGAGGTAAGTCAATAACTGCTCTTTAGGGAACTGTAAACATTCTGGTTGTATAAAGCAGAAATGTCATACAGTATGTTGGGTGAGTCCATTAGTATCTAAAGGTTGGAGGATAAACAGAGCAAAAGATCAGCTGTCTCAGGCATAGATGCAGCTTAGTGTTTGTCATTTGACTCAGCAGAAGGAGAAGCTCAACTTTGTTTAATTGTTACACACTATATCCATCACATACTAGACATCAACCAAAAGGAATCCAAAGAATTACCACTACGTTTCCAAATTAGATAAAGCTCTGGGCTCCAAAGCTCGCTCTCTTTCTCTCTCTCTCTCTTGCGAAATATTCCTCTTCTGTATTTTCATCAGCATTAAGCAGAACAGAAGCATCTCATGCTGCACATGCTTGCATAACGATGGATAAACGTCAGTTTTGCAGGTACCATTCAGCAAGCATGAATTGCATGCACTAGTAATGTTTGCAGACCTGAGCCACTGTCAGGTAGGTATTTGATTTTGATGCCGTATAAATGTGTCAGTCCTACTAATGAAATCGGTGGCGATGAACGAGGAGGGGGGAAAAAAAGACACAGACTAGTATATCCTCTTCTTAATCATGTCCCTCTGCGGTCAAAGGTTCAAGAGGAAGTGGTATAAGTTACTGTCCGGTTCCGATCTGCCGTCTGCCTGTCTGCTGCCTCTATTTAGGAACATGTATGGATTTAGGAGCAAGCTCCACATGTAAAGCCTCTGGAGGACTTTTATAGAGACTAAAATAAAAAGTGTCTGTTGATTTAGCACCAAGGCCACACACCAGAATGAGTGTGCTCTCACATGTCGGAGTAAATCAAACTCTGGCATGCTGTACGTCAAAGGACAAAGTAGAAAAATCACAAAGTGTACATTGTTTGGATGTTTGTGTGATGTGTGTATACTTTCACACAATGCTGTGAGGTGCTGCACAGTGAACGTCTGGAACAAAAACATTACTCAGATCACATGTGACTTCAAATCCACTAAAGCCCTGATTGTGTCTGAATTTCTTTGTGTGTGTGTGTG